CAACGCTGACAATTAATATTACGCAGCATTTCCTCCGCCGTTTCCCCAGTCGACGAGACTGCTCATGCTCCATTATAAATGCGTCGTAAAAATGTAGACTTCTGTCTAACAAGTGTGCCCAACAAAATGTTGTTTACTGTCACTATCGCGCGAGCTCGGACGTCTATTATGGAGACGCGGAATGACCGCGCACACAAACTATTCAGGCTCTCTCCAATCAGAAGTCCTGCACAACCTTAGGAGAGTAAATGCGCAAAGGGTTGAAACGCAGCAAGAGCTCGTGTATTTAAAAGTGTGCTGGACTTAAGGTACAACCTCAACTCAAGCATATATAAACTTTTATTTCATATAATCTGCTCAACAAAATGTTGTTTACTGTCACTATCGCGCGAGCGCGGACGTCTATTTATGGATACGCAGGATGACGGCGCTTTCTCTCTCTCTCTCTCTCTCTCTCCACATATATAGATATATATGTCAGATAAAAGTTTAAAACGTTATCTTTCATGTGATTAAACAACAGAAAACATTTTCAGAAATATACTCAATTTTATTTCAACTACATTTTCAACCTGTTATGACAAATGAATCAACATACATACCCTCACAGGACATTTTTCTTTTTTAGGTATTCCGCTGTTGTGCTGGGTTGGACTCATTTTGGCGTACTTTTAAGATGCTGGAAAAATTCCTCTGCGATTTTGGTTTCTATCAACAAGACAGCATCACACAGATGCTGCAGATTTGTTGGCCGCAGAGCCATGATTTCAGTTTTTCAACTGTCGTTCTCTGGACCATCCGGGACACTCAGTAGTGAAGGTATCTATGACAACAACATGCATATTTGCTTGGGTTAGCTCCTCAATCTCACAAAATCTCACAACACTACATAACTACAATGGACAGAAAAGAAAAAAGACAAAACTAGCCACACAGCTGCTTAATCAGAGGGTTGACTCCAAATCTTCTCTGAGTAGTTCAAATGTAAATCACTTCTATAGTATGTTTG